TGAGATGCAAACTACAAAAGATTACAGATGAAATGAGGCCTTTGAGGGTTGATGGAGTGCAACCCAGGCCGCATGTGGAAGGACTGGCCTTCCACAGAAGAAGGGATATTTTCTGCATTATGTCAGAAGAGAAGGAGAGAATGGGACACAGAAGTAGATTTGTTGATGTGGCACTGGAGGGCCATTCCATCTGAAAGCTGCTGTTTACTCAATGAGGTAAAGGCCATTGCCACCCCTGAAGAATAGTGGGAAGAAGTATTGGAAGTTTGGAGAAGGTAGGAAGGAGTTGCACATGGAAAAGCCTAGGGTTGTGGGAGTGAGATCCCAACTGAGGCTGGTGAACACTAATTTATAGTAATACCAGCATGACTGAAAGATTTTCTCCAGCAATCTTCTTCTTCTTGGATAAGGCAATGGAATGTGTATGGCTGAATTTGTTCAAGGTTAGAGATTTAGAGGTGGGTGAGGAAAAAGCAAAGGAAGGCAACAGAGGTGATGATATTTGCAAGAAGGTGGTCAATGGTGAATTACAGACTATAAGCCAGACAAAGAAGAATGATAACAAGAGGAGGCTAATGGATAGATAGAATGTTAGGGTGTTAATTGAGTTCATAATTAACTTGAAAAATTGTTTCTTCCAACACTTGACACATGAGCTGAAATGATAGGAAACTGTGATTGGGAGGCTTTAAATCAAGATGGCAGAAATGGTACCATTTCTAGTGGTGACACAGCCCAAGACGAGACTCTGGCAGGTGGGTGATTATAGTGCAACTGTTAAAAGGTCATTGAAAATGAAGTGGTCTAAGAATGGAGAAGCTAAAGTGCAAAGGCCTCTCCAAGGGTGTTGAGGTCATGAGAGATAACGGCAAGAGTTTAAACGAGAAAAGAGGGCTGCATCTACGAACCAAAGGTTCAATGAATGAAGACATGTCAACAGGATTTGGATTGTTACAAGGGAGGGGCGGCTTATACAAGTGAATGTGTGAGCTTCAGAAAAGCAGAGTTGATTTAATCTTATTATTTTAATTTAGTTTTGCTTTGTTTCAAGAGAAAAGGGATACTTAGTTTCTAGAAATGACACCAGCTGGGGATGGGCACATGGGGGTGTGGGTTTGTGCAAAATCTAAGCAACTGGGATATGAGAAAAGAAAATCAGCCCATCTTGAGAAGACCTCAGGGGAAATGTTATCAGAAAAGACATGGCTTGCAGGCAATAAGGTGGTGGGAAGGTTCACAGACGATGAAGATGAAGCTGTTGAAGATGTGGGGAAATTTATCAATTGAAGAGCAAAAGTTACTTGTTCAAGACCAAAGAGCTAGTAAGTAGCTCTGGCAGAATTTGAACCCAGGTAAGCCTGACCCTCCAGCTGGGTCATGCTGCTTATGAGAGAGAGAAAATTCATGTAAATTAGTGAATTGGATTTTGGATTTTGGAAGTAGGGAAATACATTTACAAAATTATTTCATTCATTTCTTTTATTCTTGACAATTTCAAGGACTTTTGGACTGTTATAGTGGCATTGTATCAGAAAATGTAACAGAGAAAAAAGAATATAACCATGCAGTTCCAGAAGACACAGGGTTTAGAAGCTCCACTTAACTCTAGATACCCAATGTGAAGGTAACAACTCAGGTGAGTCTTTTGGAGCAGACAGAGATGTTATATCAGTTGAGGCTGCAATGCTATTTTAGAGCTTACGAAGCACTTTTTATAAACTGTTGTTGCACTAGAATGCCTCTCGCAAGAAGCCATTAAGAATGAAAATGACAACAGGAAGAACAAATTCTCATCAAAGCTGATTATTCTGGCAGAAAGAGTATGCAAAATATCTTGAAGGCATGTGCACTATGCTTCATGCATAGCATTCAGTATTCATTACCTTAAATGTTGCATATAATTGAGGAAACATGTTCTGCATTGGAACATTCTATCCCTAAGCCCCTTAAACAAAATGATATCATTCCAGGTCTAATATTCTTCCTAAATTCATGTCTCATCACTGTGCAGAATGATACAGTACAAGGTCCTGGGTTCTAAGAACTAAATGTTGACTATATTTGCTTAACCCTCTAAAACTGGGTCCATAAAAATAACTTGAAAGTATTGAGGAATTATTCTTAGTCTAGTGTAATCCAGTCAATTCCAGACTGAAAAATTCCTGTGACATGAAATGTTTACAGTTTCCTAGAGCAATGGGCACTGCAGTTCTTGTTTCCCCCTATCTATTTTGGAAAAAACAAAATGTAGTGATGATTCTTTCTGCCAGTAGATGTTACAAATCTTGACCCATAATCTACTTTTCTGAGTGATTCACATTGTCTCCATTTTCCTAAAGTAATATCCAAGACAAGTATTTCCCTAGCTTTCCAAGTACAGTGGCCACTGGCCATTTCATCTGCCCAGCACCTTCATGGCTCTTCCTTGACACTCCACTGCTCCCTGGCACCTAACCATATGATGAGTTAAGCAGAAAAAGCCACATGACACGGTAACCCTGGCCACTTCAGATTGGTCCAGGGCTGGACACCTGGCCTAAGTCAGACCAATCAGACTAATCAGAGTATGCATGGACTTCACAACTGCTTCAATGCTGGATCTAATATGTAAGGCTCAGATCCTTTCATTGTCATATTTCAACATGGGAGACCAAACAAGTGAAGGAAGACAATCTGCAGGATAAGAAAGGAGAATAAAACATATATAACACAAGCTAGTCCTGGTGGCTTGAGCCTGTAGTCTCAGCTACTCGGAAGGCTGAGGCAGGAGGATCGCTTGATACTAGGAGTTGCAGGCTGCAGTGAGTTATGATCATGGGCTGAGGCAGGAGGATCGCTTGATCCTAGGAGTTGCAGGCTCCAGTGAGTTATGATCATGGGACTGTACTCCAGCCTGGACTCCATAGCGGGACCCCATCTCCACAAAAATAAGTTAATAAATAAAACAAAGTAACTCTAAGGCAAGGTAAAAAGAAAATAGTCAAGAGAAAAACATACATAAATGTGTTTTCAGTTATACTCTGCTGCTTAGGAAAGAAGAGATAAAGACAGTCTTCCTACTCTAATTGTTCCTAAAATTCATCTGCATTCTTGTCCAAGAGTTCTGTCAGACACTTCAGTATCTTTGTATTTTTATATGACATTGCCTTCCCTATTTCTCCAAAGCTACTACACCTTGGAATTTTGTTTTCCAAGCAAATAAACAAAATATAGGTATTCAAGAAGTTGTTGCAACTATAATTTCTCTACAAAGCACTTAGGAATACTTTTTGCTGCTGAAAGCATCTGTATTTCTGTATGAGCAGACAATTTGCAAGTATCTGGCCCAACCACAACCTTCTGAGTAATAACAGCGAAGGTTAATGCTTACTGTGAGTTCTAAGAACTGTGCTATGTGTATTATAGGCATTCTTGCATCAAACTTCATACAATACTTATAAGAAACCTGAAGCTCAGCAAAGTCAAGTGGGATGGACAGAGATTCCCCACCTACGCCCACTGTCAAGGAAGGACTCACCCCAGCTTTGGGGAGCACTTGTCAGCAGGTACTCTTCAGCTGCTGGCCCTTTCAAAGACAGCTTCAGGTGCAGAGAGCTGCCTCCCTGAGGTCAGACCCTCCTAGTTTCTATCCTGCATCCAGTGACTGTGAGGGGTGTAAAGGTCCAACATGGGATAAATCTGCAGGAATGTCCTAGCTCCAGAGGTGCCAGTGGGGCTGGCTGAAGCTCTCAGGTATATCTACAGCTCAATTGCCCCAGGCCCAATCCGTTTCCCTCCCCTCTCTTCCATAGCTGTTCCCCCAGTGTGCTCCCTAATAAGCACCTCCGAACCTACAGTGTCAATTAAACTCATTGTCATATTTCCATCATGGGAGACCAAACAAGTGAAGGAAGACAATCTGCAGGATAAGAAAGGAGAATAAAAGCTGTTCAAGGTCCTCCAGCCAGCAAGGACAGAACTAGGACATGTATTAAGTCTTTCTGGTCCCAAGTAAATAATATTTCTCCTCTGTGCTATCCATAGCATGTAGCATATATAAGGCATCCATGCAAAATATTATTGAGATGCCATTGAGTCATAGCTACCTAATTCACAATGCTTGCTTTGTCAATGAAAATATCATCTTTTTCTCAATTATCCCAGAGGGACAGAGCTCTTTGAAATTTGTAAAAAAACAAAACCATTCTTTGCTTACTGAAAATACCCTTTTAAATATATTAATATAAAATCCAAAATTAGAAAGTGAAAGGCTTATTCAGTAATGGTTCCCACTGACTGCAAAGGCAATAACGCATTTGTGAAAAGAAATGATGTTCTACATTTTCATTGTTGCTTCAAAATATACCTATGTATGATATAATGGATTTTAATCTCAATTGCAAATAAAATTATGCTAATAGCTTCCCATAAATTATTGCTTTGCTAATGCTAAAGAATTCAGACCCTAAAATTGATGGGAAAAAAAGCAAGAACGCGGGTGAAAATGTCAGAATGTATTACTCATCATCTTAATCTTTTCCTCTTGGTGGGAAATTAGTATTCAGCTTTTTCCAGAAAATAATCTCATAAACCACCCATTCAACCCATCTTCAACCGTTAGGGGTCACATAAATGACCTTTCTCTGTGTATAAACACATTACAAAAAAGACCTTCCCAGGAGTTCGACTTAGCTGGAAAATAAAATAATTTCAAAGACTGTTCTAGGAATTTTTTTCCCAAGAAGTGATGGGCATTAAGGAGTTAATGAGTAGGAGGCTTTTAATGAATCTCATTTTTCATTCTCAATGGACCCAGAGGGAACTGGGAGCTGGCAGAAAAACAAAGGTGAAGGAAAATTGCTCTGAGGAGCCAGCCGCCCTCGGCCGTGGGGGAGGCCAGCTGGGCAGGTTCATCCCAATTAGGAAAATGTTTTTCTTCTTTCATGTAGATCAGACCACACTGCCCCTGAGAAGCTCGGCGTGTCCTCAAATGTGTGTGTGTTGTTTAATTTGATACTTACCTCCTGGGACCTTGAAGGATGGGGAGACGCATCTTTTTCAAAGGAACCTGAACTGGACTGTAAAGCCCACGCGGAGCATCCTGCTGACTCGGATCCTTGCTAACGGCCTCTCGGAAACACGCTGCCCCGGGACGCACCGGCACCGCCTGGCCTGCGCTCGTCCCTGCCTCTCCGGCGCGGACCCTGGAGAGTGTCTCCTCAGGACGACCCAGACGCGGGGAGTCCACAGCGGGGCCATCGCCCGCCTTTGCTTGCTGAGGGGTGGGGAGGGGCAGGGGCAGGGCGCGTGAGGACACGCGGGCCTTCCGCGCCCGGAAGTCCCGCCGTCCAGTTCCGGGTGAGGGATTCGCCGGGCAAAGAGCAGCAGCAAGGCCGGTCCACGCGTTTCACTGTCTCGTGCTTGCTCTTTGAGCCATGAAGGCATTTGTTACAAATGTACAGTTTATAAAAAGAATAACATCTTTCTAAATTTGAATCCCTTTAGTCAGCTTCCCTCCCCAGTACGACTGGGCGCCGTGTAGTTTAGGGTGGTGGCAGCGTGGCGAGCCGAGGAAGGGAAACAGAGGCATGGCGCCGCCTCGCAGGCTCCCCCGGGAGTGAGCAGCTCCCTCTCGGTGGCGGACACCCAGCAGCTCTGGGCAGTGGTTCCCGGTGGACAAAAGAGGACATGGTGAGAAAAGAAACAGCCAGGAAACACTCTAAAAGCAGGTCTGAGACAATCTTTCACACACACATTAGCAGCAGGTGACCCTTCAAGGGTGGCAGTCCCTGCTTCTCACAGCTCCTTCTTGGGAGGGACTGTTCGCCACGTGGGCCAGCATGTCACACGCTGGACTCCTGTTGGATTTTATTTCGTGGCTGGGCCTTTGTGTTTGGTGGCCTGTGTGTACGTTTAAATTTTTTAAACAGTTGCTGACATTTAAAAATCATGAGGTTTCAATAAAACTTTGGATTTCTAGCTTCTCTAAATCTAGCAATACCAAACCCAAATTCTAGAATGACAACGCTCAGACAGACATGAGGATCTACTGTTGCTTATCGAGGAGACATCACTCTGCCCAGTCCCACCTGCCCCTCCCGCTTGTGTGCCCCACCCCAACCAGGTGAAATGGGATAGGGAGAAGTGAGTAGACCAGGGAAATTGTTTTATTTTTGCATTTTGATATTCATTTCTATGATTTAAGAGAAAGAACTTTGCAAAATGACTAAATGGAGTTGACATCTAGCTCACAGCTAAAAGCATAGATTTCAAACACTCGCTTTCAAAAACATATATACACAAACGTATTTTTCACAGTGTAAACTAATGCAATTTTGAAACATTGGCAAAAGCAGTGAGAAATCGGAAATGCAATTTATGACACACTGAGCATCAGAGTCCAAGGGCTTTGAGGGAAATATCATAGAGCGTCATCACTCAATTCACAAATGTCCCAATTTATAAACATGGAGAGAGAAAAAACTATTCCCTGATATTATTCCCCTACATATTGCTTTTCTGGTTGAGGCAAAACATTAGCAAGTTAAATTACCAAACCCAGACCCATTTCATCTGGCCAAACTTTGCTTTCTCAGTACATTTGGATGGTGCATAGCAACAAACTGAAATAAAATTGCATTGCACATGTCCCCATGAAATGCAGAATTTTAAGTGCCCAAATCCACAGCTTATATGTAAACTTTTATGATATATCTATAAACATATTTTAGAAAAGTATTTTCATAGAGTGTAGTTTCTGATCAATTTCTTCAAATACCTTCAAATGGAGATTTCTTGTATCCCCAGTTCTCTTGGTTAATATGGGAAATGCATTGCATTTTAATTGTGTTGTCTTTCCCATTACATCGTGTGGAACTGCTTTCCAAATGTCTTCCCAGTGTTGGTCTTCCCAGCAGTCACTAACAGAGAAAGTAGGTATTTAGAAAATAACCTTCCCTCTGTAAGTCATTCTTATTTGAAGACTTCTGTATAATAACAATAAGGACTTATTTGCTGGTGTTATTCAGTTCCTAGCTTCTTAGGGACTTTCCTTAACAATTTCAGGCTCCAAATCTAGCAGCTCAGCAAAGGGAAAGCTGGCAGGGTGGATGACTGCAGACCAACAATTTGCCCTCCTTCCATTTTCCAGTTGCATGCACACATGCTGCTGGCATAGAACATGATTAGAAATAAAAGCAGCCAGGCTAACGTCTAAGAGAAGTGACTCAGATACCTGCCGAAGAGGCATCCAGCAAAACCACCTGCCCGCGATGGTGTCTCTTCACCCTCGCCTCTCCCAGCCATGTATCCTACTTTAGACTTCACTTTCTACTCTTCTGGAAGCAGCGATGGGCTTAGAGTCAGAACACCAAGCTTTAAAACAGATCCACCACCTGTTTTATAAATTTGACTATTTTCCTGATCCTGTCTTGTTGTCTGTTCAATGAGAATAAAAATAATATCCCTGTAGGATTTGCTTCAGAATCCATTTATTCATTCAACAATTATTACCGGGCTCTTACTGAGTGCCAGGAACTATTCCAGGTGCTAGAAATACAGCAGTGGGGAAAAAACTCTAAGTTCCTGTGCTTATGTTGCTTATTTTCTAGGGAAGAGCCCACAGTAATATAATATAACATAATGTAATGTTGTCATACACTAAATACAATACAAGGTAGAGGTAACCGATATGAGAAAAAGATAAAGCAGAGGAAAGGGTAGAGGCAAGGTGATGACAAGGTCACACAGAGGGAAGAGGTGACACTGTATCAGAGACTAAAATGAATGAGCAAATGAAGGTGAAGGGAACAGCAAGCGCAGCTACCGTGTAGGCTGACTGTAGACTGAGGTTCCACCCACGAGACGGTCTCCTGGATTGTACCGGCTGTTTTAGCTGAGCCTGGGCTTTTCCAGGTTGAGTGTCCTGTGTCCAGAGTTTCGCACTGGCAGGGTTCCTGTCATCCTTCATTCATTCGTTCATCTTTTCACTCATTAAATATTTGAGTTGAAGACTAAAGAAGGCACTGGATAAACTGTTATTCAATTGAAATGAAATGGAGTCCTGGAAAGGTCCTAAAAGTAAGGACCAGGAATCTCTGCAGATGAAGGAGAGGTGCTGATGGCAAGGTGGGAAGGCCAGAGAAAACACTAGTCCATCTTGCGGGTAGGCCCGGGGAGGCAGTAGGGCTGTGGAAAGCCTCTAAGATGGTTCCATGTAGGGGCTTCATGAAGCTAGATGAATCTATGAGAAAGGAATCAGCTTACTGGTTCTTTTTTGTTGTTGTTGTTGTTTTATTGGTTATTGTTTTAATGTAAAGGGAGCTAAGAGGCATTTGACATGCATTGAGTCACTTAATTTTCACATTTCAATGAGGTATCATTGCCCAATTTTACAGACAAGAAAGCAAAACTTAGGACTTAGTGCCAAAGATAGCATGATATGAAATTTTATCTACTTAATCCCAACATCTGTGCTTTTCTCACTACCCCAAGTTAAATATCATCATTATGTTTATGTCTATCAGTATTATATTTGTATCGTATTATACCGATATTATATTTCTTACATCTAAACGTGAATTTTGCTATGAAGGGACAGTTGAGAGGCTCAGTTAATCAGTTACCCGATTGCTCAGTGTCTCACACTGGTGGGTGCAGCAGTGGGTGGGCTATGGGCCTGGCAGCCCCTCCATTGATGTGATGGGCGGGTCCTGAGCACCAGCTCCGCCCACTCTGGAAGCAGCACATGTGCCTGAAGGTCACTGAGAGGACTCAGTGGAGGGACCGTTGGCTCTTAGAAAATACCTCCTGTTATGCTAAGGATCCAGAAGGAAAACAACCATACCTCATCACTAATATCAAAAAAAATCAATGGTTATCGGTTATGTAGAAAACATCAACAAGTTGCTAGGGGTATTTTCTGAGAATAAAATAAAAGGAAATATAGAATATATTTGTTAATTTAAGAATATTATAAGGAAGACAAGTAAATTTTATAAAAGGATGGTATTTTTGAGGTTAAATTTAGCAAAACTAATAATAATAACAGAATAGAGACTTTTTTTATACTTTTATGAGTTGACTAGATCATTTTTACAACTCAATGACCCTTTCTTCCCCCTCCAAAGTCTGCTTTTACCTCCATTATTTGTAAAATATGTAAGTAAAGTAAGAAAATATTACATAAGTAATTTGGGGAAATATTTTTGTTGGCCTGGTCAAAGCTTGTCTTGTTAAACTTGGGGAGCCACTAGATTGTGACAATGTCAAATTTCAATTTTGGTTATTTAAAATATTACATATATCCATTGCAAGTCCTGTAGAGTAACAAAAGAAATAAACTAAAAGCTTACTCCTGGAAATCCCATTGGACCCATGGTTTGCTATATCTTTTAAAAAAGAAAGCTATATCAGAGAATCATATATGTCAAATCCTCTTCAGCTTTAGAAAAAGAGGCATGTGGCCCTTCTCAGCCCTCTGCATGAAATCTTCAGAGGGCTGTGACTATAACTGAAGTCCCTCTTTGGTACTCATTTACACTTCCTTGCCAATCTAACCAAAGAACCCAGAGGCCAGCATTTCTATAATAATTTTTCAAAAAGAAGGAAAAAGCAAAAACAAAAATCAGCACTTTGACTCCAAAGGTGTTTCAAAAGTGACTTCACCTTTGCACCCTGGGGAGGATCTGGCCCTGTCACACTGGTGCTTCATGTCTCGAGTTGTACGTTCTGCATTGCCAAAGACCTCAGCTGCACGCGGCAGTCACAAAAATACTTCGGAATGTTATGGCCTGCTGTGTTAAAATCTGGAGTAGTGGAAGGAAAAAGGAATCCAACTCTGAGTACTGTTGTGCTTGGTTCAATAGTTGATCATACTCTCTAGCCAGAGGAGCGACAGTTACACAACCATAATTTGCCCAGCAGTCAAGGGACAGATAAATCTCTGTTGGTCAGAATGAAATCATTATGTAAAACACTATTTAAAGTTATAATAATAACTATCACACCTTTAAATGCTTTCTCTTTGCTGGACACTTCTAAATTTTTAAATTAATTCATCTCACTTCATCATCACAAAAAGGTTATAACAATGATTCCAAAGACTTTACACAGTCACTATGTGCCAGGTACAATTCTTCATTAACCCATTTAATTGCCACAGAAGCCCTCTGTGGAGATACACAGCATTCCTGTTTGAAAGATGGGGAAGGTGAGACAGAGAGAATGAGTACTTGCCCGCAGTCTGCCCGCGCTGGCGCCAGAGCGCACACCCTCAGCAT